GCGACTTGTTTCATGGCTTTTATTTGAGCCGCCGATCCAACTCTGGAAACGGAAAGACCCACATTAATTGCGGGTCTGATCCCAGCATTGAATAAATCGGCAGATAAGAATATTTGACCATCTGTAATGGAAATGACATTCGTAGGAATATAAGCTGAAACATCTCCGGCTTGGGTCTCAACTATTGGTAAAGCAGTCATACTTCCTTCACCTAACTGACAACTTAATTTCGCGGCTCCTCTAATGTTTTATGAAATTAAATTAATTTAACGCATGCTTTTTTTTTACTTCCTTCAATCGAATCTTATCCTTTTCTAACTTTCCCAACCTTTTAATTTCTACAATGTATCGTATCATTATCTTCACCTCTGATTCCTAACTCTAAAGCATTCTTCCAAATTTTTGTAGCAACCACCTCATCATCTTTATCCAAAAATATCTTATTAGTTTGTATAACATCTTGATCATATGTAGACTCACAGGATAAGGCTGATCCACCGGAGAATTTGTCCATTGAATTTGATGTAGAATGATTGGAAGGGCCTGGGTAATAGATTTGGGAAGGGCCTCAGGTATCCATGGACAAACCTCTCAAAACCATTTACTTAACCAATCATTCATGTTAGCCACAAACTCTTGAATCTCCTCTTCCACCCGATCCTCAATAAGACAAAGGTTTGCGCCAAGTGGAATCACCCAAAAAGCAATATGCTTTAGAGGTGAAGATATCTTGCATGTTCTAGGCCACCCCAGAATTTTCCACAAATAAGCTTTCTTAAACCTAGCAAGATCGTTATCATCCACACGAAACTCTATTTTCTACCTCAGCTCTTCTGATGTTAAATCATCAGAATATGTTGAAACTTTAATTGCCCCTATGTAAGATCTATATCCATCTTGTTTGAGTTCACTTGTTGAAAAGAAGATTGCTTGTTCTTCTTCTCACCCCTGTCTTGGACCCTTTCCATTCTGAAAAATGTAAAAGTGTCATCACATTTGTCCTTTCTCCAAAATAATATTTTCATTAACTTAATGTTTTTTTAACCTTTGTCAGTGAAAATATTTATATTATTATTGTATCAACACTTATTTTTATAGGGCTAAATGTTTATTCACAGTGGCGGATCTTGGTGGTAGAAGGGGTGGACCATGGCACCCCTAAACTAATATTTTTTTTATTTTTAAATATACTTGTGATATACCTTTACTTTACTTTTGTTTCGGCAAGTCTAATATGTTTCTATTAAATATTTTTACTTAAATGAACTTTGTGACAAACATATTATGTATTTGTAGTAGAATACATATGATAATTTTTTTATGCCAAATATATACATATATATATATATATATATATATATATATATATATATATATATATATATATATATATATATATATATATATATAATTAAAAAATAAATTATAAAGTACTTGGGAGACATAAACCAAATCCAGTCAAACTACAAAGTTATCCCGGAAGGGTATACAAATAGATCGAATACATCAAAAATGTTTTTTAAATAATTAAAGTAAAAGCGCACACACGACAGACAATATTCGGAGAGTCCGCTTACGTGCACGAAATCAAATAGTAAAAAAGAGTCTAGTGTGAGTATTCACTTTTCAGCATAGTGTATGAACCAACTGCCAACACGAATTGATTCATGAACAAACAATCTATGGACCAAAAAAAACCAGAAAGCCAAACGACTCTTTTGAGTCCAAAAATCCAACATCAAATAGAATGAAACAAATATGAAAATAATCCCACATCAATCCCGAAGAATGATCCAAATATTAAGTTAGTATCGGTGCAGAGAGGCAAACCTTAAATCTTGAAACCTGCAGATCGCAACAGATCTGAAGTCAATCAGAGAATAAAAAACTCAAGATACCAGCTTTGCACCTGAAACACAAACTTCCAGTAGACCTATCGGAGAAGGAGCTTCCACAAACGTCGGAACTGCCACCCAAGAGAGCACTGCAACCGAGTTTCAGCACAAAATAACAGCCGATAAACTGATTCACCACCAGAAAAACCAAATTCCGATGAGTACTCAAATAGAATAAGCCAACCAAAAATAAACATCATGACTTCGGATTTGACGCAGTCGATTATCGATCTGCCTAGAGTGACCGTCGCCAAAACCAAACTGAAGCAAAAGAAACCGAATTTAGCACAACTCGGAGAGAATAAAGGGTGGAGTGGGTGACAAACTCAACGGAGATTAGGGATGGAGCGGCCAAAAAATAATTTTTGAGAGAGAGGACAGAGAATCTACATTTATTTTCTTTATTTATATATATATATATATATATATATATATATATATATATATATATATATATATATATATATATATATATATATATATATATATATATATATATATATATATATATATATATATAAATATATATATATATATATATATATATATGGGTAATGCTAACTTGAAATGATATCTTAGAAATTGTGTACTGTTTTTAATAAAAATAAAAAAGGGCACAAGTTAACAACTAAAAGTAGAAATAATAACTTAGAAATTGTGAGCTATTTTTAATAAAAATAAAAAATTTAATTTTTTATTGATGTTTCCAATACAAACATTCTATAAATGTGTTTCTTAACTAGTATCTCTAGGGCAATATATATATATATATATATATATATATATATATATATATATATATATATATATATATATATATATATATATATATATATATATATATATATATATATAATTTATTTATTTTGAATTATTTTATAAAATTATATATAATTATATCAAATTTTAAATGTTATACTACTACTCCTATTATTTAAGCCAAGATTTGCCACTGTTTATTCATAATTATAATTTAAATAAAATAAAATAAAATAAAAACATGAAACAACCCACTCCAGCAGCTTCCTGGCAATCAGGTTAGGTTTTTTCGATAAATAATGCAGTCTGCAGTCTGCATAAAAATAATTAACATAATGAAGTGACCAATTATTTTGGCCAATAAACCGTTTTTCTTTCTCATAATTCAACACATATGATTAAGTCTGACATTGTATAAAAACTGGTGTGTACTTCTCTTGAGCTTGGAGCATGTCCAGTCTCCTTCATAACAAAATCATAACATAAATTAAGCTTAAATTGCTAAACAAAATTCTAGTCTTAAGATAAATTTTATTTTTTATTTTTTTATTTGATTGATGATGAGAGTTGATAAAAATTTATAAACGTATTAAATTTATTTAGTTCAAAATTTAAATGATGATTAAATTTAATTTAATTTAATAAAGAATGACAAACTTATAAGTTTAAGTCATGCTAGAAGATCTAATTTTTAGGGTTAAATTAAAAAAAAAATCATAAAATGTGCTCCCTCCATACTAATTTATAAAATGTTTTGCACCTTTCATGCAAATTAATTATTGTTGTATAGGAACCGAAAATTATGAATGATCTTACAATATTGTCCTCCATATATTATAAGTGAAAGAAAAATTTTAAAAATTAAAAGAGAAAATACTAATAAATGATAGAGAATATGTTGTAAAAAAATTCATTAATGTTACATTGAAATTATTTGAAATTATAAAGTGACTTATAGTTTGAAATAATTTTTTTTAACAAAATATCTTATAATTTTAGATAGAGTGAGTAATATATAAATAAAATAAAATATTTTATTTAATTACAATTTCTTGGATCATTTTAAAATGGCATATGGAAAAATCATATGAACAATTATTATTCAAATCATTGTTGACTTAATTATAGAGTTTTCAAAATATATGGTGATTTTATGAAATTAAAAATAAAAATATATGTTTTATGTTTAAAATATACCATGATCTCTTTTAAGTTGTACAACAAATTAAAAGGAAATATATATATATATATATATATATATATATATATATATATATATATATATATATATATATATATATATATATATATATATATATATATATATATATATATATATATATATATATATATATATATATATATATATATATATATATATATATATATATATATATATATATATATATATATATATATATATATATGTGTGTGTGTCTATATATACACACACACACATATATATATATATATATATATATATATATATATATATATATATATATATATATGTATATATATATATATATATATATATATATATATATATATATATATATATATATAATTGTATAAACATGAAAATTATATTTAACTATACAACTATACAACAAATTAAAAGAAAATATGATATACAAATTCAAATACAAAATTGCATATAACTATATTTAAGCTATTAGTGTGTAATAAGTTTAAACATATACTAAAATTATTAACACTTAATCAGTGTACTTAGCAAAAATATTCTATCTCAGTTTTATATTATAAATAAAATTTATTTATTTTATTTATTAAATAATTTATATATAATTTAATATATTAATTATTCAATAAATTTAAAAAAAATGACTTATAATATGGAACGGATACAAATTTTATAAACATGAAAATTAAATTTAACTAAATAACAAACTATTTCTTGAAGAACTTAATTTGAAAACATACCACCATTCTTAAATTCATTTGAGAAGATATACCATCATTCATAATGATTTGCAAATTATTTAAAGGTGTTTTAGCTAGCTAGATGAAAAGCACAAGAGTCCAAATGGAAGACAAATAAACCACACTTAATATAAATAAATCATTAATTAAGATAATAAAAAATAGTAATTAAAAAACCAATCTATATATGTTGCTATTGAGATCATTCCAAAGCCGGCTAACAGAATAAATCTGTAAGCAAACTTCTAAGACTTTTCCACTTTACACCACACATTCACTTGACCATACACCTTTAGGTAATGCCTATGTCCTTCATTTGTCTCTTCCTCAAACCTTCTCCACTTTCTTCTTTCTATATTACTCTTCCCTCTCACTTCACTTTCTTTTATCTCTAGGTTTGACATGGAGTTCAGCTACCTCCAAGAAGATTCAAAGAGTTCGAGCGACGAAAACATCGACCGATCGTCCGATCAAAACCACGACGACGACCACGATCATGACATGGGAATTGGTAGATCCTATGAGTGTGTATTTTGCAAAAGAGGCTTCACAACCGCTCAGGCTTTAGGTGGACACATGAACATACATAGAAAAGATAGAGCAAACAATAACAAAAGTGTGACTAAAACAAATTTCATTCCACCTAGTTCAAGCAATCATCATCATGATAACTATGGAGATCTTGGATTTTATTCAACAATTAATCCAACTCATGGTTATTATTCTTCTTCAATTTCATCCAAAACTACTCCTGAGGTAGATTCTCTTAACTATCATCAACTATATTTTCCTTCACATCATGTGCAATATAGTGAGATGCTTTGTGTTGAAAATCAAAGAATGTTTGGACAAGATTGGAGGGGTTTGAGCTTGTATACAAATCCACTGATTAAAGACAAGATAGAAAACAACAATGAAGTGGATGAATTGGATTTGGAGCTTAGACTTGGTCATTATCCATAGCAACAATTAATATGTATTGCACTATTATTTCTCTACCTTTATATATAAATAGAATTGCATGTTTTATATATTTTGGAGGCTTTTTCAAGTTAGGGTTCTATGATATTATATAACCCAGAAACCCAGAAGTTTTTACCTATGTGAATGTTTCTTTTGTAGCTACTACTCTCTCTTATTTTTGTATTCATTTCTTTGCTTGTTTAATTTCAATGAAAATTAGGTTATTTATGTACATATGAGTGTTTATTTATTTATTTATTTATTTTGTAATAAATAAATAAATTTAATTATTTTACAGAACCTCTACTAACTTTAACTATTGTTCTTAGTCTGTCATGATTATATATATAGATTGTGCAAGATAATTAAATCTTGAAATATAAAATGGTGACCTTATAGATTTGTCTAAGGGTGTAGTTATTTAGTGATTTTGATGAGTATTTGATTAATGTAATTTTTGCTGTTTAAAAAAAAATGTATGCAGTGTGTTTGTAATGGTTAATTTGGAGTTTATTTTGTTAATTTGGCTATGATTGGAGTAATCAATGTTTTAAGTTAGTTAGATATTAAGAACGATATTATTTTTTCTGTTTTTGGAAATATGTTTTTTGCAAGGTTAAGATTTTGTGATGAAGATAGTTATTTTTGTTAGAACTAAGATAATCATTGCTAGGCTTATATATGAATGATAGTTATTTGGTGTAAATTTAAAGGGGTCTTCCTATTCTTTTTCTTCGACCCAAGTTTCCTTAGGTTGTTAAGGTGACTTGCTTTGTTGTTAATTTCTTCTTGAAGTGTTCTCCTCTGGGTGTTGAAGATTTATTTAGTTTTCAGCTCAAACATGGGGGAGCACGAGAGGAGAGGTGGTTTTTTGGGACTTATGGTGAGGAAGGAGGGTTGATGATGCTTTAGATTTTGAGAACTTTGTTATGTTTATGGGGTTTATTAATCTCATTCTCTAAAGTTCTAATCGATAGTTTGGAAGAGAATGCTAGGAGAATTCTGGAAAAAAAAAAAGTGAAGAATTGAGTGAAAAGAATTGAGAAATTTAGGTATAATAGGTAAAGAATAATTTTGAAGATTTTTTTTTTTAATAATTAACATCTCTTTCGTTTGAGAGAATTAAAAAATAGTATTTGAAGAGGAGTTTAGAAGGTTTTGGAGAGTGTTGAAATATAATCTACACTATTATAATATTTTGAAATTAAAAATAGGTTAATGATAAATATTTGTTTATCATTTTATAAAAAAATCATTCTTTCAAAAGATATTAGAAAATTTTCTATACTTAAAAAGAAAAAAAAGTTCAAAGTCTTTTCTATGGGCTTTGGCTCTAAATAGTTGGAATGGATCAAAGGAGGGATATGCTTTAGTTTCATGTCAGGGTTATTAAACAGTAGTACAAATTGTGATTTCACGACCTCTAGAGGTCTCGGGCAGGGAGATCCTTTGTTGCCGATCCTTTTTGCTAACTTGACAGAAGGTTTTACTATCATGGCTAATAGGGTAGCTAGGTCGGAAATTTTAAGTGGCTTTAGAATTAACGAAGGTGTCATCCATAACTTATTACAATTTGCAGATGATACCATTCTCGTATACGACACAACGTGGTCCAATATATGGGGTTTGACGGCTATTTTAAGAAGTTAAAAACTGACTTTGGGATTGAAACTAAACGATTCTAAAAGCTACTTGTATGGTATTATTCAAATTGTAGCATAGCGGCAAGAAGTAAAAGATTTGGAAGAATTTCCTCCAGGTTTTATCGTGTCCACAGGGATCGGTGCGAGGGAAAAAATATCGTTCAACAATCTCTATCTCTCTAAGCTTGGGTTTAAATGGTTTGAATGAGTAAAGTGCGAAAAGTAGAAGATATTAACAAGTAAATAATGCATTCTTTAGAGAGGAGAGAGCTCGTCAGGAATTGAATTTCATCTACCCATCAAATACTAAAAAATCTATCAAGCAACTGTATGCAACCTAAATCACTCGTCAATATAATCACATATCGCTCACAACAAAGGTTATGTCTAACGCAAAGTTGAGAGAACAATCGTATCGTCTCATCGATGATGTCTCACATAACTCAACAACAAAGAGCATTAAGAACCGATACCGACGCGAATATTAGACCTAAATTTATGGATAAAGTTTAGATTCTAACAGATTTTCATCTTAGGTCGAGTTCGAACCGTATATGTCTATAGCAATTCAAACTCATTAAGATAAATATTGAAATCAAAGATAACCATCGATAAAGATTTATAAAAGAGATTTTTATATAATGATAAATAAATATACATACAATCAAGATAAACTTACATATAAAACTCCAACAATAGAGGTTACAAAGAGAAGAAAGAAGATGAACAAGATCTCACAGTATGTCAACGTCGATTGAAGCAAATCCAACTCCAGGTCATCAAGAAGCACAATCTAATGTTGTTTTATAAGCCTAAACCTCTGAAGAATATTTTCTGATCAAATGGGTGTAAAATGTCCCAAGAGATATCTTACAAAAATGAGTTGAAATGAATATATACAATTCTGGTTTTTGTAGCTCGCACAACGAGCTAGCTTTTATTTGCACGTGCATCCATCAAAAAATGATCAAATCGCCTTCAAGAAAAATATCTAGCTCGTAGAGCGACCATGATGCAAAAAACTCCCCGCCTCTAAATTGGTCTGCCTCGCCTTCAGCTCTTACAACGACCGCAAAGCAAGCTCGCTTTCCGCTTGCACAACAACCATGATAGACTTTGAAAAGAATAAATTCTCGCTTCCACCATAACTTGAGAATCGTAACTCTGATTTACGCGCTGTCAGAAGCGTTGGAAAGCTTATTCAATGCTCTATAAGACAATGACTAAATATCATTGCTTAAATATCTACAAAAATGATATAAAAACAATTAAACTCAATGATATTTACACAATAACACAATATATACACTATAACATAAATCATACAAAATATACACAAAATTTGAGGTTTATTGGTATAAACGGATGAATTAAGCCGATGAGTGATAATTATTCACAATCAAAATCAAAACAATTTAGTGCGCATCAGGTATTGGAGTTGAAAATGCTTTTTTGGAAGCGGCAGAATGTTTTTTTTTTAGCTTGTGTAAGGAAATCTTTGCCTTTCAAATTCATTGGTCTCTCTATTGGAGACAATCATAGACATGCTTCTTTTTGGAAACCGGTGATCGACGACCTCCAATATAGTTTATCTACTTTGAGGGGAAGATTACTATCAATTGGTGGGAGGGTAACACTGTTGAAATTCGTTTTAAGTAGCTTGCCAATACATTACATTTCCTTCTTCAAATTTTCGGTTAAGGTTGCGCGTAGAATCACTTCCATCCAAAGAAGGTTCCTTTGGTCTGGATTGGAAAATAAACAAGGTATGACACTTATCAGTTAGAAAATTGTTTGCAAACTGATGGTAATAGGTGGCCTTGAGATTAAAGATGTTGATTTGTTCAACATTTCGCTTATTACTAAATGGCTTTGGAGATTAATTACGGAAAAACAAGTGATGTGGCAAGGTTTATTAGCGGCGAGGTATGGCAATCTATCTTGTAGAATTTCATCTAATGAAGGAGTTCCTGGTCCTAATAATAAACTCTCACTTTGGTGGTGAGATCTAATGCAAGCTGGAGATTCCTTGGAAAAAGGTTAGTTTTTGGATGTTATCGCTTGTAAGCTCGGTAATGGATTCGATATTCCATTTTGGCATGCGAAGTGGATAGGAAATTCTACTTTGGCTAGGCTTTTTCCTGATGTCTTCGATGCTTCTACTTCTAAGGGATGATTGATTTGTGAGTATGGTGTTTGGACTCAACAAGGCTGGCGCTGGAACATTGTTTAGCCGAACTACATACCATTTTGCAAGAAATCAGTATGTTGCATGATATTCGTGACAACTTTTTTTGGCCTACTGTTGTAGATGGTTTATACTTTGCAAAATTGTGCTATGAAAGGCTCATTTTGTAGTCCATCTTGATTGTGTTGGAGGACGACACGAAAACTGCATTGGATCTTATTTGGCGAGCGAGCATTCTTTTGAAAGTAAAGGTATTCACATGGTGTATGCTTTGGGAAAGACTAACAACTAAGTTCAACCTAGATCGAAAGGGTATTATCTCGAATGCACATGAAAAGGTTTATGTATTTTGCTTTCATAACGATGAATCCAATAATCATCTTTTAGTTTTGTGCCCGAAAATTGGTCTAGTTTAGAGGAAGATTGTTGCTTGGATTGGTATTTCCCATTTGGAGGAACAACAATGTCATATGCACTTATTTGAATGGGTGACTTCTTTGGTCGGAAAATGCCATAAGAGTAACATTGGTCTAATATGGTTTACGACATGTTGGTGTATTTGGCGATCGAGGAATGAAATTATATTCAACGATGAAGTGTGTAACCCATATGCTATTGTCGATAGAATTATGTTATCATCTTGGTGGTGGTTGTCACTTAGGAATAAACATAATCCTGTGTGTTCTTTTTATGACTAGCTAAAATGTCCCCTTGATTTTCTGTAATTTTGTCAGTAGGGATTGGTGTTGTTTATATATATTTTTATTTATTGGGTTGGAGTACCCTTAATACTCCCAACCATTATGTATTTTGAATGCTTGATTACTAAAAAAAAGAGTATTTTCTTCTCCTCCGTTCCTAATTCGCAAACAAATTTTTTGTGGGAATGAGGAATTTGTTCAATTAATAGATTGAATTATAATGTGTGATTCCTCAATCATTGAATTTATCTTATTGATAGTTGAATTTTTTTTCACTTTCACTCAATATAATTCATATTTTTCTTATCCTATATAGAATACTTTTGATGTTCAACTTTTCTATTTCTAGTAACATGAATTAAAATCATTTTTTCTTTTATTAAAAACTTTTTGTACTAGAAAAAACGGTTTTTCAAATCTTTTTTAATTGCTTTTTTTATATTTTATATTTAAAATGGGACCCAAAAA